TTGAAGTCATTTATTTTTTCATGGCTCCTAGATTTGGAGTCACACTAGGAAGGTTTTCCAGCTTAGTGATTACAGAGGGCTCGAGGTGACACGGGAGGAGGGACTTGCGTGAGGCTCTGAGGGGGAGAGGCATGTGTGAGGTGAGCCCAGGTCGGGGCCATGTTTGACTGCAGCCGTGACTAGACTTGATTTCTGAAAACACTGTATCTGTGTTTTCTATTCATTCTTACTTCTCATACCCCAAACTTATTTACTAGATTTCCTCCACAACTCTTAGCTTCAATATTAGTCCTTTCTGTGACTAGTTCTTATTAATCAGAAGACATTGGAGAACTACCTTATCATTTTAAAAAAGTAGAAAAAGAAGGAGGGAGTGTTATGGACTAAAAGGGACTTAGAACACGTTACGAGATCTCTGGACCGTGCTTAGATCATGATTCAAACAGCCAACTGTAAAACATTTTGGGGACAGTTGGTATCATTCGAATGTGGCCTGGGTATTAATTTGTATCCAGGCTTCATTATTAATTTTGTTAGGTGAGATAAGGGCATGGTGTTTATGCTCTTTTTTAAATAGACTTCATCCATTAGAGAGGTATACCAAGGTGTTTATGGGTAAAATGTTGTGATAAGGGATTTGCTTTAAAATATTCCAGGAAGGGGAGCCTGGGTGGCTCAGTCGTTAAGCGTCTGCCTTCAGCTCAGGTCATGATTCCAGGGTCCTGGGATAGAGCCCCGCATCGGGCTCCCTGCTCCGCGGGAAGCCTGCTTCTCCCTCTCCCACTCCCCCTGCTTGTGTTCCCTCTCTTGCTGTCTCTCTCTCTGTCAAATAAATAAATAAAATCTTTAAAAAAAAAAATATTCCAGGAAGAAGACTGTCAGTGGGGGAATAGGGTGTAGATGTAACCATATTGATAAAATATTGATCATTGTTGAAGCTAATTGATGGGTAATGGGGCTTAAGGATTCTTTTTTCTACTTTTTGTATAAGTTTAAAATTTTCTGTAGTGAAAAGTTTAGAAGACTAAATATAAAATTATCATATAATTATTGTAGAAGACTGAAAAAAAAGGACAAAAGTTCAAGAAAGTAAAGAGAACATGATCCCACCAGCCGGACATATCTGCTATTAACATTTATAATTTTCCAGTCTTTTTCCCATGTATAAATATATACATACACAATTTTTAAAAGAGAATGTCAAGGTCACTCAGCATCTAAAATGTCTGAGTTGGTTTGTTAATCTTTGCATGAATATCATGCATAATAGTTCTCAGCATCATGGTGGTTCCAGAGCATTTCAGCATATAGATGTATCATGACTTAACTGTATCACTGCTACTGGGCTTTTAGGTTGTTTCTTTTTTAAAGATTTTATTTATTTGAGAGAGACAGACAGAAATAGCAATAGAGATAGTGAGAGAGGACACAAGCGGAGAGGAGAGGGAGAAGCAGACTCCGCACTGAGTAGGGAGCCCAATGCGGGGCTCGATCCCAGGACCCTGGGATCATGACCTGAACCAAAGGCAGATCCTTAACCGATTGAGTCACCCAGGTGCCCCTTTTGGGTTGTTTCTTGTATTTCGCCCCTGTAAACATGAGCATCACTGTAGGTAAATGATTGTTCATATCCAGATGTAGTCGTTTGGGCCACACTCCTAGAACTGGAGTCACCGGGTCAGAAAGTACATGCAGTGTACAATTTGATACAAATTGCAAGTGACCCTTCGGAAAGGTGGTACCATTTTGTACGTCCACCAGCAGTAAAAGGGAATGCCTGTTTTTCTGTACTTGCAAAGCCAGAGGACAAACAGGTTCAGAGCAGGAGCGAATACACGGAGTGATGAAGGGTAACTGTCGTACAAACGCATCTCTGACTCTGACGTTGGATACCTTATTGCTGGGGCGTGTAGGGGAAGGCAGGGTTAGCTGCAGTGGGCATCTGCGTGGTCACGTGAGCTTATGTTCTACCTGTGAAGGGGCTTGGGCTTAAGGAGAGCCCCAGTGTCTCTGGTCCTGCAGGGGAACCCTCGATCTGGCCCAGAAGCCTGCCTGAGGCTTCAGATCAGTAGTATATATTGTGCATGTCATTCTCTAGTTTTTACGATGTCATGTCTCTTAGACACTTTCCATAAATGGCTTGGCCTGTGTTCAGTGTGGCACTTCCTTGTCTAGGCATCCTTCTAGACAAGATCGCCCAGAAGGTCCCCTTTTGCACGTCTTTGAAGCTCAACACACCTTCCAGCTCTCAGCCTTGCTTCAATACCTTTTGGGTTATCTTGGTATTATGGCTTGCTCATCAGTGTTGTTTATTGCAAAATCTCACACAACAGTTGTTTAGCACTGATCCGGAACTGCCAGTTTATATTTATGTCCATGCTCGTATTCTGTCTTCCATATTACTGCCTTGTTCTGTGCCATCTGTCAGTGATATCTCAGACTGTCAGAGGACATAGCTTTTTGTCTAAGGTTCTCTGACTTAGTGAGCTTTTCTTTAGAAACTCGGTTCAGGGGGCGCCTGGGTGGCTCAGTCAGTTAAGCGTCTGCCTTCAGCTCAGGTCATGATCTCAGGGTCCTGGGATCGAGCCCTGCTTCGGGCTCCCTGCTCAGCGGGAAGCCTGCTTCTCCCTTTCCTGCTCCCCCTGCTTGTATTTTCTCTCTCTGTGTCAAATAAATGAATAAAATCTTAAAAAAAAAAAAAGGAAACTCGGTTCAAGTATAGCTTTATAAGGTAGTCAAAAAGAAAAGACAATTGAGCATCCAGTCAACAACCTAGAAAATGAAAGAGTATCACAGAAATTACCCTTGATACATCCCCGTTTAGTGCAGAAAACAGAGTTTTGAAAATACGGTAAACTGATTCTCACTGTTCCTTTAGGGAAATTACATCCTAGTTGAAAACACCTTTGAACTTAATCATCTTTGCGTTATTTTGTAATAAGCAAATTTTCATCAGTTGGACACACATCCTTGAAGAGTATCTGAAATCTGCCATTGTCTCAGAATTAAACACAGCTGAGCCACCATGGTTTCCCGTGGAGCACGCGAGTAAGAGTCAAAGAAAGGATTATAAGCCCCCACCTCTCATAGGCATTTATTATTACATCATGTGACTGCCTTCTTGTGCAAAGCTTAAAACGGAACGTATAGGAACCCCCGAATTAGAGAGCCTCTCCCCCACCCCAGAGGAACTTACCTGAGTAATAAGTTTCTAAAATATACTTGATGTTGATTTTTTTTTTTCTCTTTTAAATGTGAATTTGCCCTAAGATCTCTTCCAGGGGCTTGGCCTGAATCTCCCCCCTTTACCCGGTGTTTTGGGCCCTCACCGTGCACCCGGCTAGACACTGCAGGATTGCTGGGGAGGAAGGAGCCTCACGTTTGTGAGTGACCGAAGTGGGGCACGAACTGTGTGAGCGTTCTTTCTACTTCATTTCATTTGCCCCTCAAAAGGATACTGCCGTGGGACCAGTATCTCTCTTTGAAGGCAAGGTGGGGGAAAGGGCGGATTTTGAACAGTTCGGTAACTTGCGGGAGATGTCACCGTGTGGAGTGGCGGCGTCACCGTGACATCGGGAGCTGGGAGTCACTCTGGAGAAGAGACAGTTCGGAGGCAGCTGGCTCCCGGCTGGACTCGGAGAATCTTGACTCTGAGCGGTTTATGTCCGAGTTTGGGGTAGGCCAACAACGATGGATTGGGGCGCTTGCCTATTGCGGTCATGGTCACTCCATGGTCGACCATGATTTGGACGTGATTTGGATTCTTGATTGTTGCAATACGATGGCGCTTGTAGGGCACCAAGAAAATAAGACTAAAAAGATTCTAATGCTGTGTATTCCTCCCTATATTTGTTTCCTAAGGCTGTCATAACAGAGTACCCCAAACTGGGGGATTTAAAGCGACAGAAATCCTGTCAGCGTTCTGGGGGTGGGCAGTCTGACGTCAAGGCGCAGGAGGTTGGTTCCTTCTGCGGCCACGAGGGAGAATCTGCTCCTTGCCTCTCTCCTGGCTTCTGGTGGTTTGCTGGCGACCTTTGGTTTTCCTTGGCTCATAGGTGCATCACTCTCAACCTCTGCCTTTATCTTCACGTGGCGTTCTCCTTGTGTGTATCTCAGTGTGTCCAGATTTCCCCCTTTTGATAAGGTCATTGGTCCTATTGGATTAGGATCCACCCCAGTGACTTCACTTTAACTTGATTATCTCTGTAAAGACTGTGTCCAGAGAGGGTCACATTCTTAGGTACTGAGAGTTAGGACTCCAGCAGATCTTTTTTCTGGAGGAGAGTGGAGGGGGACAGTTCAACCCATAGCACCTCCGTTCAGCATGGCGCCACAGAGTACCCACAATGCTCCTGTGCTTGACTTGAAGGCAGGATTCTCCATTGTCCAAATGGTCCAGGGATTCCGTGTGGCTTTCTTGGTTTTGGGGACAGTTGACAGGGCTCCCCACAGCCCAGTCTCTGCAGGCCCAGTAAGAAAAATAAGAGATTCTGAATTTTTTATTACTTTATTACTTGATACAGAAGGTATAAGGCCTGGTGACATCCAGTAATAATTGTTTTCCCTTGACACACTGAGGGGTAAACTTCCTCTGAGTCTCCTTTAACAAAGCAAACAAGCATGGTTTCTCAACAGCGAGCAGCTTTAAGCAGGGGATTTGGGGTCTTGCAAGCTGTCCCTGTCCCAGCGTTCTCCGGGAAGGGGCACACCCTTGAACACACCTTACTCTAGAATGATAGACGTTAGTCAGAGTGTGTTCCTTCTGTGAGTTTCCCACAAGGAGGAGAATGTGTTTGATGGCGCCAGGGAGTATCAGACCCCACGTTTGAGCTTTCCGTGAGGATCTTCTGGAACACCAAAGTAGGCATCCTAGGCAACCTCAAAATGGGGGTCTCTTCAGTTTATCAGTTGGTTCCTAAGCGTTCTAGGCCTTGGGGTGACGGCAGTGAGAGGCAGAGCTGGGCCGGAGCTCTTCTCACTGTGCGTGTGTGTGTTTGCAGACACCAGCTGGAGACACCGGGACATTACTCCCATCTGGCTGCATTCTACGAGGACAAGAAAGGGGTGCTCCATGCCGGTCTGGGGAGAGGCAGCAGCCTGCCCCCCGTCTACTGGCTGCCTTCCATCCACCGATACATGTATCCCGAGATGAAGGTAGGGCTAGCCGTGAGCTCACATGGCCCTGGGCTCGAGTCTGCTACAGTGGTGGTGGTTTGTTTATTTTTTTAATTAGGAATTTATGTCTTGGGCTTATGCCCAAAGTCTGGTTTGGATAGGTTTCTGACCTAAGCATTTGGATTCTTGTAAAACACAAGGCAACGATGTGCTTTCTAGGCACTGCTGCGAGCATGGTGCAAAGCCATGTGGGATGAGAGGCCCGTCATGGTGGGTTCCTAGCAGGGAGAAGGTGGACTTGATTCGGTTACTGGCTTAGATATTTTAAAACCAGACCCTTGAACTGAAAAGATGAAAGATGAAGAATGTAATGAATAGATGTAGTATTTCATAGTTTCCATATTCCTGATACTACTTAATTACGTATTTGTTCTGAAGTCCTTTGCCTGTGTGCTAGAATGTGTTCATTTACAGTTCACAAGCGTGAGGTGTTGGGAGGGTACAGAGATGAGTATGAGCATGAAGTAATAAATATATTTATTGAAATTATTGAAATAATGAAAAAATTTTTTAAAGATTTATTTATTTATTTTAGAGAGCATGAGTGGGAGGGGTCGAGGGAGAAGGAACCTCAAGCAGACTCTGCGCCGAGTGCGGAGCCTGACATGGGGCTTGATCTCACGACCCTGAGATCATGACCCAAGCTGAAGCCAAGAGTCGGGCGCTTAACCGACTGCGCCACCCAGGTGCCCCAATAATAATGAAAATTTTGAAATATTGTGAGAATTACTAAAATGTGACACACAGATGCAATGTGAGCAACTGTCATTGGGAAAATGGCGCCAGTAGACTTGCTCGATGCAAGGTTGCCACAGACTTTCAATTGATAAAAAATGCAGTATCTGCGAAGCCCCGTAAAGTGAAGTGCAGTAAAATGAGGTCTGCCTGTAGTTTGACTGGGATTGAATTTCTATGTCAACTGACCAGGAGAGAAATGTTTGGAAAAATAGGTTGGAATCAAATTGTAGAGAACCTTAAATACTTGACTATGGAATTTGAACCCAGTAAGTACCAGTTAGGGTCTTGCCAGGAAAACACAAACTACGTTAGATATTCTAAGATACTTTAATTTACAGGGAATCCATAATCTAGGCATTAGAAGACTGAAGGAGCCAAAAGGGAACAAGGGAATCTAGATATTTGTAATTATAGACAACTCCCACCTTCTATTAGTTATCTACTGCTGCATTACAAAGTACCCCAAAATTAGTGGCTTAAAATAGTACATATTTATTATCTCACAGTTTCTGTGAGCCAGGAATTTAGGCATGTTTTGGCTGGGTCCTCTGCTTCATGGTCTCCCATGAGACCATAGTCAAGGTATCAGCCAGGTCTGGGGTCTCGTCTGAAGGCCCGATTGGGGAAGTATCCACTTCTGAGCTCATGCAGTTGTTGGAGGATTGGTTTCCTTGAGGGCTAGTGGACTAAGGCCTTCAGTACCGCTGCCTCTTTGTTGTCCTCAGTCCGTGGCCAGATGGGTCTCTCCAACATGGTGGCTTGCTTCATCAAAGTCAGCAAGTGAAAAAATCTCCTAGCAAGATGGAAATCAAAATCCTCTGTAACCTAACTGGACATGACAACCCTGCAATGTTGCCATCTTCTGTTGGTTAAAGCAAGTTACTCAGGAGAGGGGATTACATAAGGCTGTAAATACCAAGAGGTGGGGATCATTGAGGGCCCTCTTAGAGGCTGCCTACTGAATGCACCCTCCCAGGGCTGGGATAACAGAGGGAGGGATGACATTATCAAAACTACAGGGGCTTAAGGAGGGGCCCTACACAGCCTGTGCTCAGGTGTCTTAGGCACTGTGCACCTGCTGATGCTGGACCCGCTGAGGGGCGTGGCTCAGCTGGAGCTGCTGGGAGAAGCTGGAGGCTAGAATCAGATGTCCTCTGCTGCTGGCGAAATACCAGCAGGAGTGAGAAACTGAAGAGAGCTCCTTCTCCCTTCCTTCTGCCTTCCAGTTGCCAGTCATTGCATCCCAGGGGAGGAATATAACAGGAAGCCAGCTGCCATGGGAGTCCAGGGAACGTCGCTTAAAGATTTCCCCGCACCATGGCATGCCCTGAGAGGCAGTAATTAAGAAATGGTCAGAGGGTCATTAAGGCGATTCTGGGTCAGTATTGACTGAACCCTGGATCTTTTCCTTGCCACTCCTAACTCTGACCCGTTTTTTCCTTCTCAAATTGCTTCTGGGCTATCTCAAACCCACAGGGAGATGACCAGCATCTGACCTGGGTGTCCCCGGATTCCACTCCCCAACAGGCCTCGAAGGAGGGACAGAGGGGAAGAGAACGTAAAATTGCCTTCTGCTTTTGCTCCCTTGAGGGCAGCTCATTAACATACATGTCAAATTCTAGGTGATGCAGGGGAAAGGGTACTTTGCGATAGGTTGCAGATGGAAATGTGAATGACCTTTTTACAAAACAATTTGTTAGTACTTATTAAAAATGCACGTACCCTTTGCTTTAGCAATCCCACTCCTTAGGATCTGCCCTCTATTTATAAACCACCAGAATATAATGATGTCTATATAAGAATGTTTAAGTCAGCATTGTATAGAGTGGTAGAAAATGAGAATGCCCCATATATTATATAGCCAGTATAAATAATGAATTAGAACATACGTCACTGACGTGGAAGGTCTACCAGGAAGTGTGTTTGTGTGAGAACAGCAAAGTGCAGAAAACTGTATGTGATATGATCTTGTACTTTTGTAAAATAATCACAGCCTCAGGGGTAGGTATAAATACACACACGCATACATCTGCATGGGACAATGCTTGGGTGTATACGAGGTTATTAATACATATATTACCTGGGGATGAGATAAGATATGGAGGGATGATGCATATATGTGTGAAAAAGGAAAGGACCAGGAGGAAAATGACAGCACTTGAAACAACGGTATATATATATATGATTCCACTGGTCGTTTATGGAACATCACATATATACATACAAAGAAATGTCTATAGAAGCTTTCTCTTGAAACATAATATTTTGTACCCACAGGTTTAAAAAAATCCATGTATATAGTTCAGTGAATTTTTACAGAGCGCACACACACGTGAAGAAAAGTTTAAGTTTTTAAATTCGGGGTCAGATCTGAGATGGTTGCAGAGTCACAAATCACTGGCAAGGGAGGTAGGAAGGCTTGAGGCCTCTCTGAGGGCTCCAGCAGTGCCTGGTAGATGCCCCGCTTTGGGAAGTGGGGAAGTGGGACAGAGAATAGGGACTGAGCCCCAGGGAGCAGATGGAGTCCCTGGGCAGGGATTCGGGATAGAGGGGAGGCAAGGGATGGAGAGAGAGCCCAAGGGTTGCTGGCCACGGTTAGGGAGTGAAGAGAGCCTGGAGTATGTCCCCTGGAAGGTCGGAGGGAAAAACGTGAAGGCGGGAGCTGCATAAGTCAGGAAAAGAGTTTCCTATAAAAGCTACGGCAGAATGAGGCCCAGACCCGGGAAATAGATTTAGGTGAAAGCAGGAGAAATGTCCCTCAATATAACCCCTTCCCGCGTTGCCCTGGCATAGTACCGGCCCAGCGCCTCAGTTACTGGCAGTTCTCAGGAAGTGGCGTGTTGTCTCTTGTCTCCGGGCCTTTGCACATGCTGGTCCCTCTACCAAGAACACCGTCCTTTGCACATGCTGGTCCCTCCACCAAGAACACCGTCGGTCTAGTTTCTCCTTCGTGTTCAAGCTGAGACATGCTGCCTCCAGGAAGTCTTCCGTGTCTCTCCAAGAATTGGGTCGGGCACCTCCTGTGTGTTCCTGCAGTGTCTGCCGCCTCCCATCAGCTCTCAGGCTGGGATTTGATCGCTTGTACACCTGCTTCTCCCAGTAGTCTCTATACTATATGAGGGGCAAGGGCTGGGCCTTTCCAGAGTTCATTGTTGGACCGAGCCTGCTTAGCACAGTGTTTGGTGCAAAGTTAGCATGTGAGAAACCTTTCTTGTCCAAGTGTATCCGTGCTTCCTTGAATGGATGAATAAATAAGACCAGAATTAAGGATTGATCGTTTATTCTGGGATTCTAGGGCCCAGGACACGTTTGGGCAAAACACTGGCAGGCCTTCATGCAGTAGAAGAATGTCCTCAGGGCTTGAGGATCACCAGAGGGGAGGCTGGGAGGGGCCCACAGGGCCTGGGTTCCCGTTCCTGTCTCATTGCCTTAGTACTTTTGTGAAAGATTGGGGTTGGAGGAATCTGACCAGACATGGTGGTTCAGTGCCTCTCCTCCCGGAGATCTGGGAGAGGAGTAGGCACAGGGGTGGGACAGGGACCCTCAGAGGAGGGCAGCCTCTCTGCCAGTGGGCGGGGGGGGGGAGCGCAAGTGAAAGGCACAGGTGCGGGGACATCGCCCACCCTGGAAAGGGAGGCTCATGCTGCGGGTCGCCAGGGCTCCCAGCCACAAGCCCAGCACCGGCCTCCCTGTGGGCGCAGCTCCTCGGAGGTGCGCTCACCAGCGCCCCCAGTGGGTGGTGAGCGCTATTGCTTCGGACACTTGAGCTCGGAAGTGACCTTCCAAAGCGCTCCTGAGGAGCAGAGCTTGAAGACTTCCTGTTTCATCAGCACGTGCACGCTGAGCATTTCATGTGTTTTTCCTCAGGTGGTCCTGAGAGCCATGTGAGGGGCAGGATGGTCTCCCCATTTCACAGATCAGGAGAGAACAGGGAGCGTTGGCTAACTTCCCCAGGGCCGCCCACTAGTAAATGGCAGAGCTGGGATTGGAATTCAGCTTTTCCGGGGTCAGAGCTCCTGGAGTCTTCCCAGCTCAGGGCTCCTGAGGGGGTAACAGGCTCCTTGCACTTGGCAGGAAGGAAGAGGCTGGACCCCACATACAGCGGTTATTGGGCAAGGGGGCCCGTGAGGTCCTCCTGCCCGTAACCTGCGCAGATACTCACTTGACACAGTAGCAGTCTCCGTACGCTTGGGGAGCTCATCACTGCACCCCTTCCAGGGCCCGGTAATGGTTTTGAGTTGAATGTTCTCATTGAGGGCGTACTGTTATTTCAGAAACTTTTCTTTCTGACTTTTCAAAAGCACGTTCAGCATTGTTTCTTGTGCGCCCCTCTCTACTGAGCAAAGTACTTAATGATCCCGAAACTCAGACTTCATTTATTGTATCAGGGGAGTTTTTGGAGTATTGAAATCTCATTTAAAAATGAGACTTTAAAGTGAACAATACCATTTTGTGTAGAAGTAACCGTCCCTTAGTGCCTCTGTTGGTTGTGGTCTGGAGTTTGTGGGCTGGGTGGGGGGGTTGTTTAGCACACAGCTGTACTGAATCGTTTTTCACATTTTGAACAGGCTCATCTCTTCCTCTCCTTTATTTTTTTCAGATCACACACCCAGCTGGCTGCATGTCTCAGTTTATCAAGTTCTTTGGAGAACAGATCATCATCCTTTGGAAATTTGCCTTACTTCGAAAGCGCATTTTGATATTTTCTCCCCCTCCCGTGGGTGTCGTATGCTATAGAGGTAACTAGAAGCCAGAGTTGGGTTTTCTTTCCTAGGTGTCCTGGGGTAGCAACTGCTTGAGTCTTTGCATTGTTGACCAAGTTCAGAAGAGTTTGGGCTGTCCCAAGAGGGTCCCAGGTTTTCAGCCTGGGAATGCCGGGGTTGGACTTGTGTTCTAGAATGTGGGCTCTGGCGGCAGAGCAGAAGGTGGGTTGGGGGACACATCCGTAGTCCGGTGAGAGAGAGTAGATGTGAGAGAAGATAGATTCTGATACACTGCGGAGGTAAACCTGGCAAACGTTGGTGTGTGATTTGGGTTGTACGATTCTGATGTGTGTGAGGGAATGGAGGAAGGGTCTAGGATGACCAGGATGGTGGGGCCACCAGCTGGGGGTCCCGGAGGAGTAGAAGGGGTGGAGTGGATAGCATTGGCTTTGTATGCGAGGTGGACACCAGGCGCTGGTGCGGCTGGGTCAGGACCTCGGGGGAAAGGCAGGCTGGAGATGAAGATTTGAGAGTGGCATATAGAGTGCCGGTGACCATGGGCTGGATGGCGTCCCTCGGGGAGAGCGCGAGTGAGGGGAGGTGATGCAGGCACTCGAGGTGATGCAGGCACTCGAGGTGAAGTCATACAGCGGGACGGCAGACGTGACTGAGCGAGGGCGGTCGGAAGAAGGGCGGGAACCGGGAGATGCGGGGCTTACCCCGGGCAGGAGCTGTGAGGAAGGGGAAGGTCACCAGCGCCAGATCCTAAGCAAGACCTCGTGAGGTGAAGACTGGAAACCGTCTGTTGGCTGTGGTAAGGCGTCGTTGGTGTCCCTGGAGATCGGGTTCTGCTGTGGGACCCGAAAGGCTCGTGGCCCTGCCCCATCCCCTCAGAAGGCCAGAGCCCCGTGGTGACTCAGGCTCTAGGACGGCATGGGGCGAAGCCTCCCCAGCGTCCTTGGAGGCTGACTGCTTGGAGGGGTGGCCAGCAGGCTGCCGGGGACGAGGGGCACACTCCTCCTCCCTCCCCTCCTCTTCCTCCCTCCCGCCCCCTGTCCCACAGTGTATTGCTGCTGCTGTCTGGCCAACGTCTCCCTGCCGGGCATCGGGGGCACCGTTCCTGAGTCCAAGCCCTTCTTCTATGTGAACGTGGCTGACATCGAGAGCCTGGAGGTAGAGGTGTCCTATGTGGCCTGTGAGTACGGGGCCCTCCCCGCGTCCTGCCCACACATCCTTGCCCCGATTCCCCAGACAGCCCCGCTGGAAGCCGGGCTCTGGCCTTCCGGCTCCCCAGGGGCCCTCCTCCTCGCAGACGCAGCGCTCCTGCCCCTCGTTTCCTTGGTGGGGTCGGGCGGGTGCCTTTCGGTGCCGGCCCCCAGCTTGCCAGACCCTGAACTTGGATGTCCCAGGCACCACAGAGAAGATTTTCGAGGAGAAGCGGGAACTGTATGATGTCTATGTGGATAACCAGAACGTGAAGACACACCACGACCACCTGCAGCCCCTGCTGAAGATCAACAGTGCTGACCGTGAGAAGTACCGGCGGCTCAATGAGCAGAGGTAGCGGGAGCCTCCGGGGGCCCGCGGGCGGTGGGGGGCGTGGCCGAGGCCGGCACGCAGCCCCACAGACGGCCCCGGCGGGGGTCTGTCCGTGAAGCCCGTCCTGTCCACCCCGCCCCGTGGTGCGTAGCAGTGGCACGTACGTGGGCGGTGACTTCTTTCTGACGGGCTCGGAACCCGGGCGGCCCAAGGGAGAGCACCAGCCTTTAAGGAGCACCCAGTGAGCACAGTATTGCCCACGTGCTTATTCCTTATCTCACGTAATTCTCAGTAATCCGTGACACGAGTGGTCTCATGTGGTATCAGTGGCGAAATAAATAATAGCATCACCATCATCCCTGTTCGATGGGCATTGAAGAAAGATCGCCACTTGCCTGAGACCACACGGGGCCGGCACTGGCCCTGGACCCCAGGGGTTGGACTCCAAGCCCCATTTGTTCCTTTCCCGTCGTCCGTCTCTCCAGGCTTTGGGGCCAGGGGTTGGGGCTGCTCTTCCGGGGAGTCGGGGGGTGGCCCATGCCGGGGCCTGACCGATGACCTGGCCGATGTCGGGGGTCCTGTAGCGGCAGCAGAGCGTGAAGGTGGCCTCCCTCCCCACAGGCAGATGCTGCTGTACTCCCAGGAGGTGGAAGAAGAGTACAACCCTTGTGAGGAGGACCTCTTTGTGCTGTAAGTCAGCCTGGGCGGCACTTGTGGGGTTTCCCTGAGGATCCCGCAGCGCCAACCGCTTTGGGCCCCGACCCCTCCCCCGTCACCCTCGGCAGCCCAGGGATGTCCTTTATTGCTGCCAGGTCCACTGAGAGCTGGGCTCCGTATGGAGTCCACCGTGAGCCCTGAGGTGCCATCGGGGGACCCCCCAGAGGCGTTAAGGAGAGAAGCAGGGAAATTCAGAGAAAACGGGAGTCCTCATGTGTCTTTCCATTGAGCGTTCCCTGCAGATGTCCGCTGCATAGACGCCTCTGTCCTTCAGGCTCAGGGGCTTCTCCTCCGTCGCCTCATTCGAATAAAGCCATTCCTCGCGTTCAGTATTACGGGGTAGTCAGAAATTTTAACTTTTTTTTAAATTTTTTGTTTGTTTGTTTTATTTATTTATTCATGAGAGTCAGAGAGAGATAGAGAGAGAGGCAGTGGCAGAGGGAGAAGCAGGCTCCCCACCTAGCAGGGAGCCCAATGCGGGGCTCGATCCCAGGACCCTGGGGATCGTGACCTGAGCCGAAGGCAGACGCTTAACCATCTGAGCCACCCAGGTGCCCCAGAAATTTTAACTTTTGAACCCAGTGAAAACTCTTTGCCCCAGATGTGTTGGTGGTCGGGGCAGGAGCCATGGTCTGTATACCTCACGGCATTTGTCTCGCTGCTGAGCGGCTGTGTGAACCGGCCCTCCGCAAGGAAGACGGAACCGTGCTTGGAACAGACCGCCCTGCCAGCTCCCTGTTCGGCCTTCCTCCCCCGGGGTCCTGGCGCGTGGGCGAGGAAGGGCCCTCGCAGCTAGGACCGTGCCTGCCTCGGAGGTCGAAAACGTCACGTTGACATTTCCACGGAAGGGTGGTGCTTTGGTTCTGATGGGGTGTACTTTCCAGTCCTTCCGTGGTGTTGACGTGTGACAGTGTTTGAAATTGAGCAAAGAGCCCGCAGTGTCATCAGGGTCTGAGACATTCCACTGCATCTGAAATTTCTGAGCACTGAGAGCTTCTTTGGGCCCGAGGAGCCTTTGCCAAACCTGAGAGCCCTGCGGGTACAGCTAAAAAGTCCAGACAGTGCATGCCTTTTCTGAATGTGGCTTGTATGTTTACGTAGTACCACAAACCCATAACATTCGAATCGTACTCTGTGTATATCCCACCCCCCCAACCAAAAAAAAAACACCAAGGATGATGGGGGGCTATGGCGGGATGGGTGCCTACAGCTTCCATGTCCCCGTCACCCCTCTCTCCCAGCCTTGTTGGCCGTGGAACCTCCCCAGGCCTGCCCCAGCTCCTGAGCCCCACCTCTGCTGTGTGCACAGCCAGCAGCAGCCCAGCATGCCCTGCGCCGGCTCAGGCTGGGGGGCCCGGTGCTCAGGCTGGGGGAGCTGGTGGCTCAGGCTGGGGGAGCTAGTGGCTCAGGCTGGGGGCCGGTTCAGGGCCCTGCTCCATCCCCGCTAAGCCTCGCCCCTGCTGCTGGCTCCAGTGGCCTGTCCCCGGGCTTTGAAGGTGAATTTTAGTTCCTCACGTTCAGTCTTGACCTCAGAACCGCATCATCAAGGGGCTTTGGGGAGTTTTGTTTTTCCTTTCTCTTCCCCTTACAATCGGGAAGCAGAGGAACACGGTATCTATAGTAACCTTCTGCAGGAAAGTTGGGCTTTGGCACTCAGGCCATCACTGGTTCAGAGACTTGGCCAACCATACGGTGATTAACGCCCATGGTTTCTTTGTTAAACTTGGTGTCCCTTTAACAACCCTGGAACTTTGATCCTATTCCCTTATTCTCAGGGGTATTTCTGAGTTTGAAACCATTTAAAATCATCTTACAGCAATGTAGTTTTGGTTCCTCGTGTGTGGATTATTGGGTGACTTGTTTGTTTTGGCTTTTCTGCCCTCCCTTCCCTGTGTCTTATCTGGTGAACGCAGGTTTTTCCTAGAGCAAAACAACCGGATATTTCAGACTTTGCTGGAGGTGTCCGCCAGTCAAGATAAAACCCTGACCGCTGAGCATGCCCGCGGCATGGGTCTAGACCCACAAGGGGACCGGAGCTTTCTGATGGACCTGCTGGAGGCCTACGGCATCGACGTCATGTTGGTCATCGACAACCCCTGTTGCCCATAGGAAGAGTGGGCCAAGGCTGGTGAGCCTCTCTCGCGTGGGGATCTCACGCCGGGCCCCAGAAGACCTCATTTTTTTATTAAGTTGACGCACAGGACTGTGGTTTCTACTTTCCAACAAATGTGATTTTTGCAGTCTCCTTTCTTCCCCTCCTCCCTAGTGGTAAGACGAGACCACCTTGGTTTTATGTCCTGCTTTCGTACGATGTGGGAATCTACCACTTTCTCCCAGAACTGCTGCCTGATTTGGTGATCAGAGCAGATTCTCTCATCTCCTTGTTGAGTGACTTGAGGGGCTGTGGTGAAGGCCATCTGTCACTAGGAGCGGGCCGAGCTCTGCAAACACTGGGGCAGATTCCTCAGAGAGTACCTTGAGGTACTCGAGAATGAGAGAGCTGTCCCGGATGGCCATGGATGTGCATCTCCTGGAGATGGAAGTTAGCTAGACCTCATGACCCTTCAAGGTTCTTCTCCGTTCCGGGAGTTCAGGGTTGGGATCAAATCCCTCTTCCTGTTCACTAGGGCAAACCTGCATCTTCTCTGTTCATGTGGGTAGAGACCTCAGAGAGGAACAAAAGGATGTTTCTGTCGCTAAGGATGAGCTTCTCTGAGGACAGAATGACAGGAAGAGGTTTCTTACCAGCCAGCTGGAAATTCAAGTTGTAGAATGAAGCCTGGAAACTTCCCTCAGAGTAAATTAGTGGTGGCCCCTCCATGTGATACTCCCTTCTTTCCCCGAGTCCCTCTCCTCTAGGGATGGCCCCGGAGCGCGCAAGCAAACTCATTTTACAGTGTAGTTTCCTTGAAGGGCTAACTATCCTCTTGGAGTAATTTTGGTATTTTTAAAGAGTAATGTTTGTTGCTACCAAAGGCAGAGCAGTTGGGGTTCAAACAGGAGAGAGAAGATGTTTCTCCATCTGAGAGTTCTCTGGACACATCACTAGCAGAGCCTCTGGATCAAAACCGAGACTGACTGGATTCCGTAGTCAAGCAAGGATCTGAGCTGGTTACTCCGAGTCCAGAGCAAGACTGTGTACCAGCTTGGAGCCCTCACCGGTTTCTCTTTCGCAGAGATGACATTCCTTGAGCTAAGTAGTTGGGGCCAGATACTAACATGTGTGTCAAGAGAGTGAATTTGACAGTGCCTTCACCGGGGGAAGTGGTTGGAACCCCTGGGTGTCCGTGGTGAGTTCACCTGCATTCCCCTGACATGTTTTGGTCTGAAATGACTCCTGTCGGTCCCTGCCTCTTCTCTTCGGCCGGGCCATTCCAGGGACACCAACTTGGATGAGACAGGAGTAGTTTGAAGCCAGCTCTCGTGAGTAGATTTGAGGTCTTTTTGGCCATAGTTTAGGATTTGGACTTGGGCTCCTGGGTTGTTGGTGACAGTTTCTTCCCTTTGGACCTTCTGCCTGGCTGTGTCTTTGGCCTAGCCATCCACGGATCCACGTCTGTGACCGGGTTCCAGCCGGGCTAATACAGCAGAGAAATAACCTTCGAATGGATGGATCACACGTTTGATCTCAAGACTAGCTTTTTAGGGCTCATTGCTTTATTCAGAAATATTTTCACTGTAGCTCCTTGATACGGGATTCAAGACTAAAGAAATTCACATGGACAGATGCAAATACATCCTGGTTAATCAAAGTAGCATCTTTGATGTAAATATGTAAGTTTGGGCATTGAAATGTAAAGTGTACAACTAATACTTTCCTCCTCCATGTGGGTTTAGCCATCATTTCAGTCAGATGTATTTTTACAAAAGAAGTTTCACCACCTCTTTCCTTGAAGAGCAGCCTTCTCTTGTCTCTGGGGAAGGAGCAGCCTTTCTGGCCTGGGTCAAGTAATGGTGACTTTCCGTGGTGTCTGAAGGCTCAAGGTTTTCGAAGTTGGGGGGGTGGGGTGTGTCTCAAGCAGGGGTAGGGGTGACAGGAAAGGTCGGATTCTCTCGGTGGACGTAGGCCCCCTTCCTCAGGACCCGAGGGGTCTGTTGGAAGATGACTGTCTTTAAGCACTTCTGCGCGCAGACACTTGTGTTTCTGTGGAATTGTAACTCCAGGTCACAAGTACTCGTGTAAAGGTCATAAGGTGAAAATGAGGTTCCGGTATTTTCCTTTGAATGGTGGGTAGGGCTCCGGGCTCCTTGCAGCTCCGCACTCTTCCAGGTGGCTGTATGGCCTCTCCGTGCGGTCCCCTCACACTCGTGCAGGGGGCAGGGGGATGGGCGCCGGGGGGAGTGTACAAGCGAGCCTGGGCTCAGCTGACCCCAGAACAGAACTTCTCCCCCACCCACCCCGTATCGCTTTTAAGAGAGAACCCAAGGACTCTGTCCTTCCCTTGCAGCTTCCCTCTGGGCCAGAAGTCCGGCGCCACTCCCCCTGGCCGGCTGAGCAGCATGCCCGTTGGCTCTGTACTCCCCGTGGTCACTGTTCACCGTCCCCCGAGCGTCTCTTGCCTCGATTGTGATACGGAGCCTCTTGCTTCTGAGGTCACCTTTTGAAGACTTGCTCTGTACCCGACTCTGCTCCCATCCCCCTGCCCTCCCCCGTGTGTCTGGTTAGCAGCCCACTCAGCATCATCTGCTGCCCCTCCGCTAAAAGGGGCACGGGGGTGTGGGGTACCTGGCAGGACTCCCCGAGGTGACAGCAGAAGCGAGAAGCTGCACGGACCTGCTTTTCTGCCATTGTTGAACGATTTCCTTAAAAGCCTTCTGCTTTTGTTCAGAAGACATGATGGCAGCCTTCTTTCCTGCCTCATAGGTCCGTAAGCTCTGGAGAGGCAGGGATTCTTACCACGGACTCCTGAAGCAGGGCTGGAAGCCGAGGGTGGAGGAGCTTGACCGATGATCGCCTTCTGCCCCCTCGACTGTTGAACCTCATCCCCCGCCCCCGCCCCCACCCCAGCTGGCTTGGTCCTCCCGAGACCTTGAAGCCTGATCTCATGCCATGCTGTGAGCCATGAGCTCACCTGGAAACACTGCTGACCCGAGACATCTGGGCTGCTGTCGTTTCTGAATTGAGTCTGACAAAAGCCAGGTGGCAAGGTGCCTTATGGGGCCAGGAATCCAGGCTTAGGGTTTATTGGTGTCCAGCAAAATGTGACAGAGGCCTATTAAAGTGGGGTTTGTTTTTTTTTTCCAATTCTGCAGGCTTGGCAGATGGTAATATTCAGCCTTGGAGAAAATGTCCAGTTGTGCTCTGGCGTAGGATTCTCTCTCCAGAAGGAGTCAGAAACGGTAGGATTTATCTCCTACGAGAACCAGAAGTGTGGGCCGGACGATGGTTTAGCATTAACGATGGCTTTCATCAGGCACGAAGCTCTCCTCGGGCCTGGTGTAGATCTGTCCACGGTGCCACCTGGGGCCTCGTCCGGTCCTCAGTCAGGACAGCCATGCACGAGAAGGCACCTGCCCCCCCAACGACTGCCACCCAGCATGGCGGCTCTTCTTCCGTTTGGCCAGGGAACGGGTGCTGAATTCATTGATCATGATAGAAGTCATTGAGCCCAGAATCTGCATCTAGAACTTACCTTGTGTTGTTCCCCGTGAACATCAGGATGGGAATTTTCAGGGTAGCGCAGACCATTCTAAATACCACCTGTGCCGACTCATTTGTCAGCATAACTACCTGGTATTTTCGCCAGAAGATAAAGGTAAAGATGAATCATAGCTGAGTCGCTGTTTTTCATTCCGGTGGCTATGACGATGAACTTGCTATTTGTCTTGATACGCTGAAAGCCTTTCCAACACAATAAAAAGATGAGATTATTCACCTTGAAGCTGAGGCCTGCAGGGAGCCTTCAGTAAAGGGCAGTCGTGAATTAAACTTCGGCGGGGCAGCAGCCCTCTGGATAGAGGCAGGGACCTCAGGGACCTTTTGTTTTCCTTTTTTTCTGAAACTGTATAGCCCAGGGAATGGATTGAGACGCTTTCTCCAAGTCCCTGGACAGATCAGACTTGCAGAGGTAAGGGGGCAGGAGGGTGCTGAATAAATCATAAGGCGATGGTCAGCTTGACCGTGAACTTTGTTTCGTTAGCCTATCAGTTCTGAAACAGGCAAGAAAGTCAACATGGGGACCAACGTGTCATGCAGGGGCTTTCACCTCCCTGTCCGGTTCCTCGCTAGCAGGCTCGGAATCTGTGAGGTCCAGCCCAAGGATCTTTCCAGCGCACCTCTCAGCAAGGCTCCTAGAGCCGGATGCTGCCCTCCGCTGGCCCGACCTGTCCCTTCTCATTTCAGGGAAACCCGTTTCTGATTCAGGTAGGGGAAGAGCAGGAGTCGAGGGCTCCTCTTACTCCTGAGTCGTGGATTTTTGGTATTCCATTCTAAGACTCATATACCTCTGTTCCCAGGAGCTGCTAGAGCACCGAGTGTTGGGAGAAAGGCTGTGAATTAAGTTAATATTTTTCTTATAAGAAATGGGAGTCTATTTTTCTATCGATATTACTGTGTGATGAATGGAGTGTGCAGATGTTGAAAGGGAAGGAGATTTCAAAACTATAAGCCTCGAAATGCGGAAGTTTTGTCATTTGGAAGCAACTGAGACCCCATAAAAGTTTTACTACTTGTTTGTGAGCGTGAATAAGGAGACGGTGCTGTGAAGTATTAACCACACTCTCTAGGAGATGAATGTGATGGTCCTGGGGAGGATGACGCAGTCCCTGACCTTAAGGAAAATTCTTTTACAAAGCATGTAAACGTGATAATGCTGACTAGTGAGCCTCTTACTGGAGCGGTGTGGTTTTATAACCTGGCACTTTAATTCTTTTCTGGAGCCGGAATACAGGGGCAGTTGGATGAAACTGCACATTTAGAAAGGAAGTAAGAATTTTCTAGTGCTTATAAATGATGATGGGGAAATAAAGCCCTTTAGAGTTATCCTAGAAGCTCAGCATAACATGGGCTATTAGCGGTAACATAACCTAAATTCAGAAAATTTATTTACTTACCACGGTAGAAGGATAGGTGTGAATTACTTACGTTGGTTGTAGAATTCAGGTTTAGACTAACGATACATTTACTCTGCTTTTTTGAGGACAGGTGGGGAACACGGGTAGGTTAGGGCCTTAGAAATTAGCCAGGGATGATCCACAAAGTGAAAAATCCACACAGTGGTCACTGAGTTAGCTGGTTGCAAACATATTTCATTGATGTTGGAGTGAAAACTTCCTTAGGCCAAATCAAGCGAAGATAAAAGGAGACAAAAATTTTGAAGGTGGCATCAGGAATAGTTTATATAGGGTGCCCACAAAGACCATCATTAGGAAGGGTATAGATTCTGTGCTCCTGAACAGACTAGGGGTGTAGAGGAAAGCAAAATTAACCCCCTATTTACCCAAGCTTGTTGGCTAAATTTTTTGTTACAGGTCCCGGACATAAACCTTTTCTGAAAAAGGAAGAGTTGTAGCCTTGGAAAATGGTTTTTCTATTTTTTTCCCCCGTTAGGATCAGCATAGCCTCCCTTTCGCCTTAAGTGTCAACCCCCTATTTTGATTAATACCCCAGCATCAGAGTTAGAGCAATAAGAGACACTGAATCTATTTTTGTTTAAATTCTTTACCTCAGAGTATGAAATCAGTAAGACAGTTGATGATTTTACCCTGAATACTGGTGCAGAGAGGTATGTTGTTCTGTTTCGAATGGTAAGAATTTTAATGGCCTAAAGAAAGCTGGGGTTAATCCTGAAGCTAGGAGTAAATGTTTACCTGATTTTGATCTGTGGTACCAGGAACATCCATGTATATCCTGTCTGTCTATCTCTGAGCCAAGTTGTGGGCAGAGAGGTTGCTAGAACTGTATTTCCAGAATATGGTTTTTACAATTAAAATTCACATTTTAACACGAGCACGTGTGCTGCTGTCCTTCCCTGGCCCGAGAGATGGGGTCTGTGCAGGAAGGAGGGGTGGCCCGGGGTAGGAGCAGGACCGGAACGCGGACCTCACAGTGACGACGGAGGCCACCGCCCGGCGCGTCTGGTGCCTGTTCTCCGTAAACCACCTCCAGGTCCGGGGGAGCAGAGCCGGGCCTGACCGCGCCGTCCAGGAGAGCCAGCTCTGCACGCACGCACGCGGCCACATGCTCAAGTTTTAAGGCAGTGCAGGGTAAATTCCTAAGGTCGCTGGCTCTTGTGTTCAAAGCCGGCTTCCCCCTTTCCAAGGTCCGTGACCGCCCGTCTGACGTCCCCTACTTCCTCAGGCTGGGGCAGAACGGAGGGAAACCCTTGCATGCGTAAAGAAAGTGCCAGCACGTCGTACCTACAGCTGTGGGCGCGGACCAGCCACGGCGCTCAGCACACGGCTTGTGTATAGAAAACAGCTGCTGGGCTTTTATTAGAAATCATCCTAGCCTTTGAGTAGAGCCTTGCAGAAGGTTTGTGCGTACGGGAGGTGGGGGGCCCCGGCTCTCCGCATCTCCGCATCCGGGGCCGGGCTGACAAGGCGCCCTCTGCGCTGCACTGTGGCTGTGTCCTTCCCGTGGACGCTGTGCAGCAGGACCGTGGCAAGAACAAGGCCGTGACCGATAAGGAAACCATTGTTCTCGCAGGAGCTAGCCTGAATCAAGAAAGCGAAATCCCCAGCAGGGATCACAGATTTCAAAAGGGATAAAAACAGTGATCTCTTAAATACCCTTCCCCGATCCTACATCCCATTATTTCACTGGGCGGATCAGAATCGCTAAACAGACGCCCCGGTAGCCAGCCGATCAAGGACGAAGCCAGCCAGCTTCTGTGCTGGTCCTTCACAATCTTATCAGAAAACCACGATGGCTCAGGACTCCCCTGGCTCCTGGAGAAACGTTCCCCCTCCCCTCTGTGGGCACTGTGGAGCAGCGCTCCTTCTGCAGGTTCGCACCCACCTGTTTTTGGGCGGTGAAGCACAGCTTGTAAGAATCAGAACCTCTGAAGAATCAGAACTGAACAGGTAAGCCTGGTGGTTTGTGATCTTTCTTCATACGCTTTATAATCCTTCTAAGCATTGGTCTCCACTCTCCAAGGGATTCATGGGCAAGGTATACGCGTACGGTCCGAAAACTGATCTGCCTGGGGAATGAGCCTGTGGCCAAAGCCTGTGAGTTCTGCTTCCCATTCCCCCCCTTCACCCCCATCCTCCCTCCTCATCCATTCTGGGCACTGCCCTCTGGAGTATGGAAACCTCGGGGGCAACCAAACACAGGAAAATCCTGATAGTACTATTAAAAATCAATGATTATAAAGCCTGGCTTACAGATCCTTAGCAAATCAGGTACTTTCTAGTTCTCTGCTTTCAACAAACTAAAGGAAGATCTAATCAAGCTACTAAATTCAAAGAACTGTATGACGTTAGAATTCTTTGTCTTGTCTAATTTAGGTGCTTAGATGTACAAAAAAATGAAACAAGGACTATAAATGCTGTTGAGTCCTGTGTTAATCTTAGCTGTAAATAACGCTCTTGAACTCAAAGTGTTAGTTTTTAATTATCAAAAATTCGCAGTATTGTTTTCATCAGTTGTATTGCAGTAATTATAACAGTTAATCCTGTACTGAGTTAACACTAAAAAATTATTTCCATGTATATTTTTTGTTGGCAAGAAAATAGGGCAAGTGATAAAATTTCAGGCCTGAAAATAGATTACATTACAATAGCATTCTTTGCTGAAAGCGGAATGGAAATACCAAAGAACCTATTGGTTTATGTTTGTAAATGGAGGATAAGTGTCAAATTGCTGTACATTTAAATTGCACCAAATATGTTTAAAAGAGTGATATAACAGTTTTATTTTAAAATAGTATTTACATGACACCAGGAAACACATACTTCGGCAACTCTTAAGTTGATATCTGGAAAGTGAGGGGATACATGATCTTTCAAAATACTTTTAGGGGGTGCATGAGCATAATAGTGGGGGGTATGCTTTACAATGCTGAACAGGTGAGGTTGGGGGACCTCTTAGAATAGAAGCACCTGGGGAAGGGTGCCTGCTTTTTAAAAATGCAGATTCCTGGGCCCCAGCCTGAGTGACCAGGATTGGGGTGGGCCCCAAGCCCATCAGTTTTCAACATGCACCCCCAGGTGGTTCTCATGCAAACCCATAGTTAAGCACTACCTTAAAAAAATAATACAAACTAGCCATTTACAGTTTTTCAGCCTTGGCTGAAGAGGGAAACACCTCCCCTGTTTTTGGATTGAGGGAAGAACTGAAACAAGCTTAATTTGAATCTGAGCTCAGAAAGTAGCAGCACCCATGGAGAAGCCAAGAAAAAGGACAGCAGTGGCGGGGGGAAGGCCCCGACGGCTGCACGTGTGGGGACGACCGAGGTCAGGCCCTTTCCCAGCGGAGGGGCGGGG